TCGGTTCCTCGGAATCGGTGAAGTCTCCAGGTTTCACGTTATTTGCTTCGTTTTTGATGCTTGCGGACTTCCGCTTACCGTAATCCCACGAAAAATTTATCGCCAAAAAATGTTCTACAGCTTTTTCATGCATTTTTTTTCAAAATCCCAAAAATTTGAATCCCATCTCTTTCAGTCTCCTCGACATCATTGCCGAACTCTTTGCCGTGCACGTACCCATCTGGGCATCTGTTGCCTGTATCCACATCATCCTTCTGGAATCATTCAGTCAACACATGTCCTTTTACTTCTACTATCATGAAGAGTCAATGATGTACGCCTCACTACTAGTCTCCCTATCTTTTGGTCTCTACCATGAATGTGCTGGAAATTGGATCTCAAATGATATTCTGGCTTTCGCCTCAATTTACGTCGTCTGCTCCAGAATTCAGGCAGTCAGTTACGAGACCGCTGTGATTTTTGTTGTCGGAATGTCACTGTTTGATCTGTTCTTCTTCTACGTCATTGATCTTCTCAGTAAGCTATTATTCTGAGAAATTCTTATATCAAAAACAAATGTTTTTAGGTACTGTAACTAAAGAAAATCGGGCTCCATTAATGATTCTTGTTCCTCGAGACACGAAAGGAAACAAACAAAGTTTGGCAGCTCTCGACGTTATGGTTCCCGGAATCTTTTTGAACGTCGTTCTCAAATACAGCTCAATGTACGACACGAATCTTTTTGCAATCACTTTTTCGGCTGTTTTCGCATCTCTTGTAATTACTGTATTTTTCTCAATTTGGAGGTATTCAGGATGGTTGAAATTCCATAATTTGAAAGTTCTCGAATTCTAGATCAAAAACCACTCCAGCCATGGTCCTCCCAGCTATATCTGCAATAATCTTCTCGATCGGATTCGCCAATCACTTGGAAGATCTGTGGAAGTTCATGATCAAACACTAGAAGAATCAGCTAGAATTCTAAATATGTACATAATGTTCCTTATCTTTATATGTTTGCTCACTCTCATATCTGTAATTAAATGTTTTTTATGTGTCTTCTGTGAAGTTCACTTTTGATCCTAGGTTATGCTTCCACTTGCCAACTTTGATTGACTTTTTCTGATGAATAAATATTTCATTGGAAAGCACATTTTTCAGAATCTCGGAATATTCCGACTTTGGAAATTCCGAAATGTTTCAACATTAAAAATTTGTGAGCAGAAATCCCACTTTCCCATCGAAAAAGCTCCGCAAACGGGAAAAAAATAATGCCGTCATTTCAGTATTCCAGCTAAAATTGACTTTTCTGTGCTCAAACTGGCAATTTTTATGAAATTAGGTTTATATTGGCGCTCTTTTCCTTTTGCAACATTCTTTAAAAAACCCTCAAACCCCCCAATAAATTTACAATTGTTCGCCTATTTTCAGCCCGTTGTCGACTATTTCCAGTTATTAATTGTCTTGAGAGTATTGAAAAAAAACGAAAAGACCTGAAAGTTCTGAAAACCGATGATTTCACTGAATTTCATTGTTTTTTGACGAGATTACACGGTTTTCTTGGTTTCCGACAGCATGGAATTCCTTTTTTTTTTGCTTCATTCTTTCGAAAAAATGCTGAAAAACGCTGAAAAACTGATTAAAAATGCTTGAAAGCTGATAAACAACGCGCGGGCGGAGTGTCTTTTGCACACAAAGTATAGTGGGCGGCGCAAGTCGCGAGATGTCGGCTGCTACGAAACACCTCCTTTTATAAGCGCGCGCGTTTCGGGAGGTTTTCGGTTGAAGTCATGTTTCGCTAAAAGACTCTCGATGATCTCCATCGCCACGAACGTGGTGGCCGGGGTAGTAGGGGGCAGGTGCCAGGCGCCCCTCTGTGGTCTTTCAGAATTCGTGAGGGAAGCCCCCGAGATCTACCATGGGATGTTCCCGGGTTCTTTCTGAGGAGTGTGAAGCGGAGGCTGCGGATTTTCGAGTGAACCGAGGGGTTTTTCGTTTTTCGACTGTTTTCGAGCGTTCCGTCTGTAGAGCGTTGCGTTCCGTCTATCGAGATCAGTCGGACGGGGGGACGGTGTGTCGTGTGGGTCACCTGTTACGTGCTACGGTAGACGTTGCGGCCGCAGGTACAGATAAGTAAAATTATCGTCGGCCAAGCGAAAACAGCTTGTTCGAGCAGCGATATAAATTCCGAACGTCCCCGAATGTTGAGACCACCGGGGAGTCGAGAAAAACCGTGCGGCAAAACCGTGCCAGGGATGTATTTTAGGCTCCGCCCCCTCATCCCCACTTTTCCCCGGTTTTTTCCTCGGTTTTTTCTTTCCCCGGAATTTGCGGGGTCTCCGAATGTTTAACAATTTTTCAATTCGCGCGCATTTGCTGTCGCCCGTGTACTCCTCTCTGACAACCCTGGCAGAAGAATTTTTCAACGAATTTTTTTTGGTTTTTCACATAATTTGATCGATTTTGAGAATAGTTTTGCAAAATTTCACAACCTAATATTATCTTCCATACTTCCACCACTTTTTCGTGATTTACTTGGTACTCATGAGACACACCACCAGTGTAAACTCATTCGTTGTTTACTCCTTTGCTCTCTGTCTCTCTCAATATATCGGTTAAATATCACTCATTTTATTATTTTCTAGAAATGTCAGATGGAGTGACGATTGAATTTGCAACACGAATCACCGCGCAGTGTGCGGAAATTCGTGATTTATACGAGATCGAAGAGTACGTTCGACAGCCAAACGAGCAGAATATAATCGAATTTCTCTACGATCTGAGCGCTTTTCTTCTGGAGTTAGGCAAGCAATTTTGGGGAAAGCTCTGTTTTAATCAAGGTTTTTTTTCAGAATGCCCACACGAGGAATTGACTTGTGGAGATATTACAACTCGATTCTGTTCGCAGTCTTCCAGAGATCTTCTTTCCAGTTTTCTCGCTTCAGAAGTGAAAACTGCTCGACTTGTGACACTGCGGAAAATTGAATCCGGTGAAATTGTGAGTTTTTCTTCCTGAAAATATCCCTTTTACTTTTTAATATAGGTCTCCGAAAAACGGGATCTCGAACTAACTCCTGTTATCGACGCTGCATTCCGTACTCTCGATATTCCAAAGCATACAGGAAGCGTCAACGAATGGAAATTGATGGAAACTTTGAGACAGAAAACAGAAAGTCGAGTGACTCAGAGTCAAAGAAATCCATTGTTCAAAGCAACGCTTGACGACAAGACGCTACCTGATATCGAGAAAGTAACGCATACATTTTTGTTTCTTTAAAAAATATATGTCTGATTTTCAGCAATGCGAGTTCTTCTCCCGAGACTTTTACAACCGTCTCTTGCTTCTGAACAGTCGCCTCAAAGTAACCGTTGAGTCATTTCTCTGGAATGATCGATTGAAAATCCATCGAGAGAATATTCAATCGATTTTATCCACCAGAGTTGAAGAGATTGGGAAGTTGAAAGCGAACAGCGACATTGCTCATCTCCTCTCTGCGAGCTCTTCTCTTCTCTATATTCAGAAGGCGTCAGATGTATCTAGAAGGTATTTTTCGTCATAGAAGGGTTTCAAAATCAAAAGTATATTCTTAGAAATCGAACAAAGACCAAGCAACACCCTCTGTCCTCTGGAGAAGCTCCAAAAGATCGTGGAGGCCGAACGGACGAGATGGTTGGCGTGAAACAAGAATCCTTCAAACAGCAACAGCATAATTATAGTGAGTTGTCCCATGAATTCGTGACTAATGGTATTTTTGCAGATAGACAAAATTCACACCAACAAAATCGCTCTAAAGGCACTTTTGAGCGACCGAAAACTCACGAGGAGCAGGTTTGTTAATTCTAGCGACATTAAAATTCATATCAGCGAATTTTCAGGTTCTCGAACAACACACTTCGCATCATGGACAGAGCTGGCGAGGTGGTCATAGAGGCGGCAGAGGTAGAGGTGGAGGCAGAGGAGGACGTGGATCGTATTGAACTGTCTTCTTTATATATTTTTTCATCCGGTTTAAATTTTTTTAATGGGTTATATTTATAAATTATTCAGCTAAATTTTAAATCAATACCTCCCTTATGGTCAGTATACCATTCGAACTATATTTCAGTGAAACACTTAATTTTCATTGCGCCACAGGCATTCTTGCTCTCGCACGTACTACTTTCCATTTTTCTCATTTTTTTCACTACATAAATACATCAAATTGAATTTTGTAGGACGCGGATCCTTGCCGTAAGGCAACGGGAAGAAATGATCAGCCCGCCGATTCGTTTGGCTTCCGCCACGATAGGTAGAGCGAGCTTTCGGATGTTTTTGAGTGCCAGTGGAACACAGTGCCAGTGGAACTGTCGCTGGTCCACAACTGCCGCTTTCAAACATCTCGATAAGCTGATCATCGAAACACCCGACGATGCAATGGAGATCGCCAGTCGTCTATCTGCAACTGAACAGCTCATGCTGAAAACAGCTATCGATGATTGTCTAACAAGGAAGGAGAAGGAGAAAGTGGAAGAATTGACGAAAGAACAAGTCAAAGGGATTTTTCTAGTCAACTCGATCCCGTTCATAGGATTTGGCCTTCTCGACAACATGATCATGATTCTTGCCGGAGAGTACATTGATCAGAAACTCGGAGCTGTTCTTGCGATTTCGACTATGGCAGCCGCTGCGCTTGGAAACCTGATATCGGATATCGCTGGGGTCGGTCTAGCTCATTACGTTGAAGTCGCGGTCCAGCGTGTTGGAATCAAACATCCAGTTCTGACAGCTGCACAGGTCGACAGTGGAAGAGTGAGATTAATAAAACATAGTGATTGACTTTTTAAAAAAATCAAAATTTCAGGCAAGGTTCACAACCAATGCAGCCCGAGCAGCTGGACTGACGATCGGCTGTCTACTTGGAATGTTTCCATTGCTCTTTTTCAACGATGACGACGGCGAAGATAAGAAGAAGAATAAAGAGACAAAAATAGTAGCTGTAGAATAGTATTTGTTGTAAATTCCGAAACCATTCATAATCCCCGATAACTTTTTCTGTATATCGCATAATCTTGTCACTTCCAATGATTACTAGTCAAACAATTTTTTCCCACTATGCCATATTTTTCTCCCATTGATTTTTACCTGATAACTGCTCAAAAACACAGACCGTGCGTGCTTTATTATGAAAAAGAAAAGTATAAAATTGTTCATGTATGATAAGGAAAATGTTATTGTGCTTTTTATTGGTTCTCTGTGACCATTTAGTATCTAGATGGTTGAAAAGAATTGACCGAAATTATTGAAAAAAGGGACGACGAACTAGAA